GAACTCTGCGGGGCAGCTCGTGAAAACTGCATTCGATTTTATGTCAGATAGAATAGGAAACCGTCGCAACGGCGGCCCCTTTCTTCGAATATCCTTTACTTGTTCGACGCGACGATGCTTTCCTCGCCGCTTTTCCGAGTGGAAGACCGTTTCTGTAACCGTTTCTGACAATCAACCGTCTGCTATCGGAATACAGGAGATATTAAAATGAAAGAAAAACATATAAGATTCAACCCTTTGCACTCGAGTGGTGACTCTGAGGCACTAATCTTTAATTACAGAAATTATTATTAAATATTATTGTTATTATTATTATTATTATTATTATTATTATTATTATAGTTAAATAATATAGGATTATACAAAATTTGTATGGATATAGTAAACAATTTTTAGAAAATCTGTAGAAAATAGGAAATTTTTAATATAGAAACAAATTATATAGACTTAATTTAACTTTCGTTACAATAAATTGAGAAAAAGGTTACAATAGAAGCAGCGAGGCTCGGGTCTACTTTGACCCAGAGCATAAATATTGTTTCATTCGACTATTCGTTATTAGCCATTGACGTATCTAGCAGAAATAACTTAAAAAACATATTTAAAAAATTGCTAAATAATATTCCAAGTGATTTCAAGCACGCTCGAATACATTTAAAACAAATATATCCGAAAAAATAAATCAAATAAATAACAATAAAATAAATAAATAAAATCCCTTCTAGCATTAAGCTTGGAAACAAATTTGACATTGAATTAAATAATTTTAAAAAATATTTCTAGAACCATGAGGTAAATATAGTTTCAAACAACCGCGAGAAGACTGAAGGGGGGTGAGAGGGGGTGAGGAGTGGCTCAGGCATTCGCGGAAGGGACAGCTTTCGATTTTATATATTGAAACGTGTAAGATGGCGGCCTATAAATCTCATCCGGTTGGGCAAGCCGCTTTAACAGCGGGTGTCGGATCTGGATGTGGATTATAAGATTAACTCTAATCTTGAAATAATACGCGAGGCGTCGGAACGATGAAGTTCGGCCGTTGTAACACGCCGCTTTTATCAAAACATCATCGAGAAGCACATTTTTAGTGCGCCGATCATCGTGTTTCATCGTTCTACACCTACAATTCAAGCTCGGCTGCCGCGACATGCGCGGGATTACCGAACGTATATTTACGTTCAGAAAGAATAAAAGCGGTGACACGTGTGAACAAAAGCCGTGCCCGGTATTTATCGCGTCGTATATTTATGCATATATTTGTGATTTCCGACGCGGGATTCTCGAATCGGCTGAATCTTTCACCGATTGAAAAAAAAAGAATAGACTGGCACCTCTCCGCGGCGATTTCAGTATTTATTATTAAGTATTATTATTCGGTACTATTATATGTATATTTCCGAAGCTCTCTCACTCTTTCTTTTTTTTGAACGTCGAATATCATGGAAATCGCGATGCAACGTGCGCGATTTATCTATAAAACTTGCGCAGGTGAAAGAGAAGCGTGCTCCACCGTTTCCGTACGTTTCGTACGCGCGGAGCGACGCGTATTTATGTTTGAAAAATCATGCTGCAGCTATTATACGCGCGAGTTAAGGCTACGTGTGTGTGCTGTGGGCTACGTGTGTACTGTAGCACGTGTGCGGTACTTGTATAACAGAATAAACAGAGATAAAAACTTGTACAACAGACACGAACGCCTCGTACACACGGTGCGACGAATATGTTCCGAGACTCGGAGCATATCTCGGTAATTAACAGCGCTATCTACGGTTTTAGACCGGCGTTTGAAAGCTGCGACATTCCTCTTTCCGACGGTATAAACTTTGGTTCGATCCGTTGGTAAACAGCAAAGTTATAACAGTTCTCCCTGAACAAGTTTCTCGTCGATGTTGAAATACGAGCAAATATCGTCGCGCGTCGATCGTTCCAAAGAAGCGGTCGCAGCCACCGGAAATGTTCCAAGCTTCCTAAAGTTCCCGAGGTGATTCGAAGCAACTTTTTCCTTTACAAAAAAGTTCTCCGAGGCTTCGTTTACGAGTTATTGCGGAAAAACGCCGACCAATGAATGGCGAGCTCATTTGGCGCTAGGCGGTGCTAGACGGCCGAGCCAATGAGCGGAACTGGGCGCCGCGCGCTCGTTGGCTGGGCCGTCTCGCGCCGCTCGAGCTTGCCTCTCATTGGTCAGCGTTTTTCATTAATAACTCGTAAACGATGCCTCGTAGAAAATTTTCGCAAAAGCAAAGGTTGCTTCGAATCACCTCAGGAACCCCTCATTTCCAGGAAATACCATAATTTTTGCACACTATGTATATCAACTCATGCGACAGTCACGCCTTCAACAGTTCTGTAAATACAAACAAATTTGCTTAATAAAATTATATTACAATAAAATAAACTTATTTGTCGCGCTGTGTACTTGCACGGTGTTTCAAAAATACACGACTGAGGCGTTTCTAAATACGATCGAACGGGTTAAGAGAGGCGACGATAATGGTCCTCCGATAGCGTCCTCGCAACGCTTATTTAGGTCGAGACGTCGTTCCTCACATTCTCCTCGTTTACGTTGCATCCGTGACAAATTGCACGGAGCTCATGTTCCGAGCTCTCGCCGGAGAGGATTGTTGTTTGCCGAGGAGGCATCGCCGATAACGGGGCATCGGCGCGGCGTGCACGCTTTTCCTTAGGGGCTGGCCCTGGCAAACAAACCACTCTCGGCCACCCTCTTCGGCAACACGGCTTATCCTTGTATGGCCGCCGTCCGTGGGTAGATCTTTACACGTGTTCCACGGTTAGCACATCAAATAGGTAACCGATCTGTTTGCCCATCGTAGAGATTAAGAAACTATTCCGCGCGCGGTGTACTTAAGGCCGGGCGGGGCGTTATCAGCGATATTGTAATTACTTACTGGAGAAAGTTTACCGGACGATGCCGGACGCGGTCGAGATACAATGGGATCAGGATTATCCGCGAAACCGATCACCGATATACGGTGGAATGAGACGTTTTGTATTTAAACGACGCGACCGGTATCTTTTTGTGGGTTTCGAAACGTTTGTCCTTCCTCAGGCTTCGGATATTGCGCGCATGCCAATCGGTGTATTTTGTGGAACACCCTGTATAATATAGCTATAATAATAATATAGCTATAATATAATATAACTGTAATAATAATATAGCTATAATATAATATAGCTATAATAATAATATAGCTATAATAATAATATAGCTATAATATAATATAGCTATAATAATAATATAGCTATAATATAATATAGCTATAATATAATATAGCTATAATAATAATATAGCTATAATATAGTTATAATATAATATAGCTGTTAATATAGCTATAATATAGTTATAATATAATATAGCTGTTAATATAGCTATTAATATAGCTAATTATATATATAAATATTATATAGCAATTTTTAGCGGCGCCTCATATTTATTTCGCACTCACTCTAAGCCATGTGCACACGCTAAAACTATACCTAAGAGAAACTGTCTAAGAAAAAGTTCAGGTCACTTAGGCCACTTTGTAAAAAGTTATGATATTTTAAAAGACGTACTCTCACTTTTCTGGGCAACACACGATTTTTATATGCGACACGATTTACGTAGAAATCAATAAGTACCAATTCTGAATATATATACCGGGTGCTCCTTATCTTCCGAATCCGGTTCCTTCGTAGGGTCCAACAACGCGCGCGCGCGCTTATGGTTGTACCAGAATCGGCGATATACGCTGTAAAAGGGAGAAAGAGTGACACGCGTGTATCCTCATCTCGTGCGTAGCCGGCAGCACGCCACTAAATCAGCCGGAGTTACGCGCCGACTAATTGTGAACCACGCCCCTCCCCTTTGCCGCCCCCGTGGAGAACCAAATATAACTAAACGGAGCGAAACTAAACGACCGGCCCGATTAACTTCTCCGCTGTCCGACTCTGCCACTGACAGCCTCGCGCACACACCAGCCTGCCCTATTCTCGACTCTACTTTCCGCTTCCTTCTCTCTTTTTTTTTATTCTCGCCGGAATACCCGCGCGGTGGATAAATAATTACCCGAGAGACAGAGAGGGATTGTGCGCCGGCGGGGCGGCGCGGGGCGGGACCGAGCGGTGCCCGGATGATTTGACGGTTTCGGACACGGCGACGTGTCTTGTCGGTGAAACAACGAACGAATTAGTTTATGACGAAAAGGTGAGACACCGTTCGTCAGACTTGCCGGATCCGCGAGCGGTTCCAGAAAATAATGGAAACGTTGCTTAGGACGCGTGTCACGTGTTCGGAAGATTAACGCGTACAGCGACCACCATCGACCTCGCTAACATTCTCGTGAAGTTAGAGCAATTTATCGGATTGGTAGGAAAGCAATTTTGGTATCTCGATGGGAAATGGAAGGTAATTTTTTTTCGATGCGAGAAATTAACTTTTATTGGTCAAGCATTTTCCATTATATATTATATTACATATTATATTATATATAATAGTATAGTATAGTATAGTATATATAGAATAGTATATAGTATAATATATATATATATATATATATAATATAGTTATAATATAGCTATTAATATTGCTATATTAATATAGCTATAATATAGCTACTAATATAGTTATAACATAGCTATTAATATAGCTATAATATAGCTACAATAATAATATAACGACAATATAGCTATAATAATAATTTAGCGATAATATAGCTATATTAACATAACTATATTAATTTTGCTATATTACTATAACTATATTAATAGCTAATTATATAGCTCGTTTTTTATCATATTAATAGCTAATTATACATACAAATATTATAATTAGCTATTAATATTATAAAAAACGAGCCGCAAGGCTCGAATAATCGTATCTCCTCTCCCGAAATTGTCTACTTTAGTGCACAATTTGGGCGACAATTAGGGAGACATTAGCGTAGCGGTGAGATAATAGCGAAGTTAGACAACGTTGCAAGAGGGTGTAATGCGTTTTGCAGTATGGACACAGGGTGAATTCCGGGACGAGACGAACGAGAGTTTAGCGAGGCTCGATTCGACCGGCCACGGATCTCACACGCCCGGCGGCAGCAATCCGAGTAAGCAGGGCGCGACACCCACAGCATCCTCCGGCGGATTTTCTACCGCGCCGCCCAGGTCCCGCACGAACACGACGCACAGGCCGGATATACGAAAAGGTAGGCCTAGCCTTTTTTGTTTTATTGTTCTCTCCCTTTCTCTCTCTCTCTCTCTCTCTCTCCCTCCATCTCTCTCTCTCTTTTCGCAAAACTCTCTCTCCTCGCGATACTCTCTCTCTCTCTCTCTCTCTCTCTCTCTCTCTCTCTCTCTCTCTACAAACTCAAACCAAGAAAATAATCTATATTTGTCCTAAAATTATTGTATCTACGGGAACTGAGGGGTTCGCAAGATTATTTGAAATAACTTTTTCCTTTACAAAAATGTTCTCCGAGTCGTCGTTAACGAGTTATCAACGAAAAACGCTGACCAATGAGAGGCGAGCACTCGGCTAGCGCGCGGCGGCCCAGCCAACGAGCGCGCGAAGCCCAGTTCCGCTCATTGGCCCGGTGTCGCCTAGCGCCGAGCGAGCTCGCCTCCCATTGGTCACTGTTTTTCCTCGATAACTCGTAAACGAAGCCTCGTAGAACATTTTCGCAAAGGAAAAAGTTGCTTCAAATGACCTCAGCAATCCCACAATTCCCGAAAATACCATATTTTTGGGACACCCTCTATATAAATATCACCGAGAGTGATAAAAGTTACTTTCAATCTATAATCATGTAATACATGTAATATCACGGTATATATTACGCGAACGAATCGGTTTCATCAACAGGAATCCAGTCGAAACAGAATCCAGAATCGATCGAGCTCGTTAAAATTCGCTCTAATGAAATTCGGTAGCATAAGGAAATTCCTTATGATCATCCCCGACAATTCTCACGGGCGGTGCTATCAAATGATAATAGAGAGAAAGAGAGAGAGAGAGAGAGAGAGAGAGAGAGAGAGTGTCGTAGCCATCGCGGCGAGGCGTGCGGGACGCGCGAGAAAGGTGAGGAAAATGCTGCCGGCGTCGTTTGTTTGCACGTTTGTTCGGCACTTAGCCGACGCTCTCGCAGCCCCACCAAATCCCCGCAAATTGAAATATCTCTCTCCGAGTCTTACGGTCTCTTGGTTAACAACAAACCCCGGGGACGGATCTCACTTCACTCGTTGTAATCCCGAGACGAGGGCGGAAGCCTCTCGTACTCCTTACGCGAGTCCAGCACGTACCCTCTTGTTAACCGGTAAAGCTCGCTAGTGTGTCTGGATTCAAAACTCCTTATCGTCGAACTGCTTCCGTGGCGCACCGAGCACCCTGCGCCGCCCTGCACCCCGCAACCCTGCGCCGAGAATCCTCGTTATTCGAAATAATTTAATAAACAGACGCTGCTTCTCTTTGTCGGCCAGTGTGCAAGCATATAAATAAATATACGTTTGTTTATAGTAATATATTTATTATACAATATACAATGTAGGGTGACCCAACAATGTCTCGCAATTCTAAAATCAGAGATACCTGAGATGATTCTAAGCAACTTTTTCCTTTGCGAAAATTTTCTACGAGGCTTCGTTCACGAGTTATTTAGGAGAAACGCTGGCCAATGAGAGGCGAGCGCTCGGCTGGCGCGTAGCGGCCGAGCCAACGAGCGCGCGGCGCTCAGTTCCGCACATTGGCTCGGCTGCCTAGCGCCGCCTAGTGTTAGGCGAGCGCTAGATGACCACGCCTCTCATTGGTCACTGTTTTTCGCTAATAACTCGTAAACGAAGCCGCGGAGAGCATTTTCGCAAAGGGAAAAGTTGCTTCAAATCACCTCGTGAACTCATTTCCGTATTGCGAGACATTTTCGAGACACACTGTGTTTACATTTATTTAAATAAATATACATTTATTAATAATACAATTACTTATTTTATAATACAATTACTTAACGTATTTAGATGACATTTCAAAGGAAGATTTGTTATTCTTTGAACCGATAAAAATAACGATAAATCGTTAAAAATCTCAGGCTAATTTAGTAGCACAAGAATTAAACAATTATCTAATCAACATTAACAATGATTGGATAGAGTAGTTTTAAACAATGAAAACGTAACGTAACGTTCTCGATGGTACTTACGATCGGTGCAAGCCCGGCGGTAAATAATACTAAATAAATTCGAATGCAGCGATAGAGGAATCGGACGATCTCGATACGGCGCGATATCAGCGCGACCTTATGTCGGTTAGGTACCTGTGTAAACAGGCAGGGTCCTAAAAGATAGTTAGCGGCATCATCAGACGCCTGGCCAGCGGCGGTCTTTGAGAAAGTAAGCAATCGATCACGCGGTTGTCAATGCGAGGAAGGGAGGTTGGTGATTTGTTGCGGGGACCAGGGGCGGAATACCCCCTCACCTGTCGCTATCATGGCAAACATAGTCGTGGTAGCTTCTGAACAACAGGATCTAGCACCGTGGTACCGCAGAGATAACTATAGGAACGATCTAAACGATCCAGGATCTTCCCATCGTATGCCGACGCACGCGTTTCCGTACACACGGTGCGACGAATATGTTCCGAGACTCGGAGCATATCTCGGTAATTAACAACGCTATCTACGTTTTTAAACCGGCGTTTGAAAGCTGAGACATTCCTCTTTCCGACGGTATAAACTTTCGTTCGATCCGTTGATAAATAGCAAAGTTATAACAGTTCTCCCTGAACAACTTTCTCGTCGACGTTGAAACACGACCAAAAATCGTCGCGCGTCGATCGTTCCAAAGAAGCGGTCGCAGCCGCCGGAAATGTTCCAAGCTTCCTAAAGTTCCCGAGGTGATTTGAAGCAACTTTTTCCTTTACAAAAAAGTTCTCCGAGGCTTCGTTTACGAGTTATTGTGGAAAAACGCTGACCAATGAATGGCGAGCTCATTTGGCGCTAGGCGGTGCTAGGCGGCCGAGCCAATGAGCGGAACTGGGCGCCGCGCGCTCGTTGGCTGGGCCGCCTCGCGCCGCTCGAGCTCGCCTCTCATTGGTCAGCATTTTTCGTTAATAACTCGTAAACGATGCCTCGTAGAAAATTTTCGCACAGGAAGAAGTTGCTTCGAATCACCTCAAGAATCCCACGTTTCCGGGAAATACTATAATTTTCGCACACTGTGTATATCAACTCATGCAACAGTCACGCCTTCAACAGTTCTGTAAATACAAACAAATTCGATTAACAAAATTATTTCGAAATGTGCTGTAACAATTTTTAACGCTGCTCAAGTACGAAAAGGGTTAATTTCATAGTTATTCGGAGCAATACGAGCGAGACGTCGTCGCTAATCGCGATAGGCTACGCGTTTGCCAGGATATAATAATCGCTGTCTCCGTTGAGAATTTGATATCTTAACACGTTTCAGGTGTTCGGACACCGACAGAAGTGAAACACGAATTGGGCGCTGGCGGAGGGGTGGTTTCCCCCGTTGGCGTTGTCGGCGTGAACGACGCGGACGATAAGGACGGGAAGAAGAACAAACGGCAAAGGCGGCAGAGGACGCATTTCACGTCGCAGCAACTTCAGGAGCTCGAGCGGTTTTTCGCGACGAATCGTTACCCGGACATGCCGAGCAGAGAAGAGATGGGTCAGTATCTGCGGCTTGCTGAGTCACGTGTCAGAGTAAGTAACAATACTTTAACAAATTTACAATCCTTCGTCTCCTTCGTCTCTTCTCGTAAACTTTAGCGCGGCAAGGCTGTCGCAGAATTATCGGCTGGAATTTTTAGAAAGTGCCAAGGGGGTGCAAGGGGGTGGGAGACATCCTGAATATATGAAATTTCAATGGCGGCTTTCTACAATGGTTGTAGAAAATATTCGTATAGCTTTTTTAAATCGTAATAATATTATTATAATTTTATTATATTATTGTTATTATATTAATAATATTATTATTATTAATTATAATTAGGCCAAGAGGCCTACATTTTTTCGGCGGGGGGAGTGATTAGGGGGAGCTAGAGTGATTAGTTTACTTATATATATTATTATATGTATATTAATATATATTATTATAATATTATATTAATATATATTATTATAATATTATATTATAATAATTAATATATTATTATAATATTATATTATAATAATTAATATATTATATATTAATATTATTATAATAATATATAATATAATTTCCTCGTCGAGCCGCGCCAATAATAATCGCGAAGGCATTTTTCCATCGAAGATTGCGCGAACGAGAGATTCGTCGTCGGCTACAAGCTGAAATGAGTCACACGTTGCCTCGTGACTAATTGCTTCTCGATTAAATGAGTCGACACACGCGGTTCTTTATTTCTTCTTTCTTTTTTTTTCCGTCGAAAAGCACCGCTATCGGTTTTCTTCCCGCGTTATCGGCCGATCGAGCCTCTATCGATCATATTTCTTATTCTGGACAAACAATTCTGCGCCCGGCGGAAACGTTACTATCTATTTTAATCGGCGTGTATCGCGCGTCCTCCTGTTGCAAATGACTTACCGAACGTACACACACACACACACATTCATTCATTCGTGAATTTCTACGTCTGCTGCCGAACTCCGAGCGCGAGCAACTTCGATGCCGCTCGATCGAACCGGCGAGCCACAATGGACGCATTGATACCATGAAGTATCGATTACAATGGCAACAATTCATGCTGGTCCGCGTTCTGATACCTCGAGGTGTTGTGCCCGAGGGCATGGCTCGCTTCTGGAAAATGGCATTCCTGCCTGACGGTGCTAATAATTTTCATTTACTTTTAACACTCGAAGGCAATTTTCACTGTTAATCTAAAGTAACTTTTCCGACTTATGGTGTTTCCATTTTATACGAAAATGTCCACTTTATGCGTACGAAATTGAGTCTTATGCGTGTGAGAGTCTGAAATTGACTCTCATACAACAGTTAGACTTTTGACAATTTCTTTTATATCTGAGCTTCGATCGCGTAAAACTTATCTTGAAACGTGGGAGAACAATTTTAGTGGCGCGTCGGAGACGCAAGTCGAGTGAAAAGGGTTGATTTAAACTTTTTGAGATCTATAGAGAGGCTGGAACATATCGAGAAGAAGTAGGATTATTGGAAAATAGAATTATTGGAAAGTAGGATTATTCGAATACAGAAGTATTCCAATAAGGAATTGTTTGAATAAAGCATTATTCGAATACAGAATTATTCGAATAAGGAATTGTTTCAATAAAGAATTATTCGAATACAGAAATATTCGAACAAGGAATTGCTTGAATAAAGAATTATTCGAATACAGAAATATTCGAACAAGGAATTGCTTGAATAAAGAATTATTCGAATAGGGAATTATTGGAATAAGGAATTATTCGAATACAGAATTGTTTGAATAAAGCATTATTCCAATACAGAATTGTTCGAATACAGAATTATTCGAATAGAGAATTATTCGAATACAGAATTATTTGAATAAGGAATTATTCGAATACAGAATTATTTGCATAAGGAATTATTCGAATACAGAATTATTTGAACCCAGAATTATTCGAATACAGAATTATTCGAATACAGAATTATTTGAACCCAGAATTATTCGAATACAGAATTATTTGAATATGGAATTATTCGAATACAGAATTATTTGAATATGGAATTATTCGAATACAGAATTACCAACTTCGCATCAATTAAACAGACATTACCATAACTCACGATCGAAAAGCTCGTAGCAATAACTTTAAAAATAAATTGCTCGCATTGAAGTTTCCGATTCGGTTGCGGCTAGCAAACAGTATCCGTGTCCACGGTTTGCCCACAGTTTATCCCATAGTTTATCCGACAGTTTCCAGTCGGATCAACCGGCGGGCCATGTCTTTCTTGGCTTGACAACTCTCGCGGTTCCGTCGCGCGTTTCAGCGAGACATCTCGAAATGATCATATCATGAGATACACGGCAATAGAGAGGGAGAGAGAGAGAGAGAGAGAGAGAGAGAGAGAGAGCTCGGACGAAACGTCGGGATCGGCGCGGAAGAGAAACGGGTACACGGAGGTGGGCTGGCACGGGGTCACGTGGGGTTGCGCAGCTCACAAGGGAAGCTTTGCGCCGGTAAGCCCTCCTGGATTTATAGAACCACACAGAGCATGGCACGGTGTTCCCGCCACGGTGCTATACGCCATGTACCAAAATGCTGCGGATCCCAACTATCGCGAAACCACGGACGGCGTCCGCGAATCGTAACGTTCCCACAGCCGGCATTCTTCGTCTTTTTCCTTCTATTTCCCTGCCGCTCTCGTCCGGCCATATTTTAAGACCCATAAAAGCGAGGAGATCGCGGCGGATTAAAGTTTGCCTTCCCAACGGGTTAATTTCGGGGATCGTTTGTTTTGTTCCGCGACGGGTCAGTCAACTGTTCTGCCTCACTGACGATTATCAATTCCGAGTCGCGATTCAGAGGATGAAAGAACCGTTCTTTGAACGCGATCAAAGCGAAATTCGAACGAAAATTTGAAAAGCGAACGATCATGTGGTTCTAATTGGACTGCGGAAATTTATTGCGAAAGCGTATTTTAGAAAAAGATTTAGGAAATTGAACCAAGCGAATGGGACTTTTAAATAAGAAATGAGTATGGAAACAAGAAAGAAATAATATAAATGATAAAAAATAAAATGAAATAGTAATAATGCGTGATAAAGAATTATTCGAATGAGGAATTGTTTGAATAAAGAGTTACTCGAATAAGGAATTATTTGAATAAAGAATTATTCGAATACAAAATTATTCGAATGCAAAATTACTCGAATAAGGAATTGATTGAATAAAGCATTATTCGAATACAGAATTATTCGAATGCAGAATTATTCGAATAAAGAATTATTCGAATAAGGAATTATTGGAATAAAGAATTATTCGAATAAGGAATTATTGGAATAAAGAATTATTCGAATAAGGAATTGATTGAATAAAGCATTATTCAAATACAGAATTATTCGAATGCAGAATTACTCGAATAAGGAATTATTCGAATACAGAATTATTCGAATAAGGAATTGTTTGAATAAAGAATTATTCGAATACAGAATTGTTTGAATAAAGAATTAATCGAATACAGAATTATTCGAATAAGGAATTATTGGAATAAAGAATTATTCGAATAAGGAATTGATTGAATAAAGCATTATTCAAATACAGAATTATTCGAATGCAGAATTACTCGAATAAGGAATTATTCGAATACAGAATTATTCGAATAAGGAATTGTTTGAATAAAGAATTATTCGAATACAGAATTGTTTGAATAAAGAATTAATCGAATACAGAATTATTCGAATAAGGAATTATTGGAATAAAGAATTGTTTTCGAATAAAGAATTATTCGAATACAGAAATATTCGAATACAGAAATATTCGAATACCGAATTATTCGAATAAGAAGTTGTTTGAATAAAGAATTATTCGAATACAGAATTGTTCGAATAAGGAATTATTGGGAAGCATCGAATTTAACCTTTAAAAAATTAGCCTTTCGTGTTCTTTGCTTAAAAAAAAAGGTGTTCAATAACGCCGAATTAATCGCGATTATTCGCGAGGTTCGAGGTTTGCCGAACATCGCGGACAGTGTTGCCGATGTTGCTGTCAATGAAGCCGTCCTGCTTGTACCATAATCATCCCCGGTACGTGCCACGGTCGTTGTTCGACTCGTTGAACCGTGAGCTGATTCTTCGGCCGAAATTTCTGTGTTACACGAACTTCGAGATACTGGAATTTACGAATTTACGGGCCGCGATTGTGCGCCGCATTTACTCAGTTCTAGTCGTTCCGATATACGCTTAATTAATCGGGATGCAACATTTAATGCTCGCCGATAAACGCGTCAAAGCTTATCTATTTTGTCCTCGGATTTAACGGAATTGCGGATAAAACCGGAATAGCGATTCAACAACCAGTGCACTAAACAGTGGATGGGCTCGAATCGGAAAGTTCGATCTTTCTTTCGAAGAACGTTGATTTTTTAATGTGAAGCTTGTATAATTTTGTGTGTGTGTGTGCAATTCAATAGAATTTCCAAGGAATGGAAAAGTTATATTTTTTCGGCTGTTATTATTTTCATTTGGGAATTTAGAATATGGTTGGAGGCTTCAGAAATTATTATTCATAGATAGAGTGATGAAAAAGTGAAGTACGCGTATGCAAAGTTTATTCGAAAATTAGAAAAGTTCTGCGAAATTTTTGTGGGTTTTTAGGAAATACATTTTTATAGAGTTTTCTGTGAAATAAATTTTAATACAGTTTTCTATGAAACAAATCTTTATGCAGTTCTCTATGAAACAAATCTTTATGCAGTTCTCTATGAAACAAATTTTTGTACATTATTTATTTCTTATTTTTGAAATAAAACGATTGTCAATTGTTTCGCCGAGGATGCAATAATAATTTTTCCACAATCCAATTCCCTCGTGTCATAGTTATGGCACGAAACCATAACTATGACACGAGGAATCGGAATAGAAAGTTTTATAGTTTTATGGTTTCCAACGGATTCCAAAATGGTTTTCGCTTTCTCTTGGATGGAAAGGTGAATCTCAGCCAACCTCTTTCACCTTACTTTCTCTTTTAAACTATATGCTCTATTATAAAAATATCGCGAACAAAAGTTTTTCTATTGTGAAAAG